TTCGTTGGATCTCGTCACGCTGGTGATGCCACGACACGCGCCGATCTGCATGGCATATACTCGCAGGCACATGCCGCGGTGAGTTGCTATGACGCATGCGCGTTTGAGCGTGCCCGGCGTCCCTCCGTCACGAAGCTAAGCAGACGCGGTGCTGTCTAGGTAACGTCGTCGGCGCAAAATGCAGCATGTCGCAATTCGAGCCGGTTGCCGCCGGACCTCGCCGACAGACGCTGGTCGCGCCTATAGTGTCAGACCATAGAGTGCTCGCGTTTTCTAACGTAGCGTCGCTGCGCCCAGCGTGGGCACGCGTCAACGTTACGTGTGCTCGCTGCCGTTTCGCTAGATTCACATATCCCAAGTTTGGTATTAGGGTACGTGAATGGACGACGAAGGTTGTGACACGTTCATAATCATGACATTTGTGTCATGTAAAACATTAGGGAGTTTTAGAATACCGTTTGCAAGCACTGCGGGTATTGTGGGTGAAGCGGGCGCCATTTAAGTTTTAGAATAGCGTTTCCTCTATGCGATCCGTAACGCACAATCGCAGCGTCACCGTAGCCTCGAAACCAGCGCTTGCAGGCCACATACGGGCCGCCATCACCGCACGCAATTTACGATTTTCTGCGTGTGGCACGGAGGAAGGAAAGGTAAGGAGAGGCCCTGACGTCACTCGTTGTGAAGCCGCGATGAAGCCGGAAGTCGGCCATATTGACTAGGCAAATTCTCCTCACTTGTGTACTTCCGATGTAAAGCGGAAGGCACGACTCCTCTCCGGCTCGGAAAGCACGTGGGCTGCGCAGCGCGTGTGTCGTGACGATCCGAAACTAATGGAACTGGCTCATCACTCTGAGCCAGCGGGACACCTTCAGCGAAATCGCTTCATCCGAGTAATAACAGGAGTAACAGCTTACCGACAACGAATCAACTAGGAGAGAACGCGCGCTAGATGCACTGACAACGGCGAGTGCTTTCACGTCATTAATTCAGCAACTGTACAGACAACACGATCGGTCGTGCGCCTTCTACGGTTGCATTCCGCCACGCGGCCGACGCAGCGTCCTGCCACTGTGTCCGTGTTCCGCGTGAAAATCACCGGCGTCAGCATTCTGCGACCGTGGTGACTGAGCACGCTGCTAGTGACAGTTGAACGTGGTTGCTGTTACGTTGAGATCACATGCAATGCTGGTGGAGAGTGTACCAAGCGGAACAGAAAAGGTGTTTTAATACGCACGTGCAAGTTGTTACTGTACACACACAACACGAAACTACGTATGTGCACATGGTCCTCACGGCGTCTTGCTGGGCTCAACAGCGCCGTCCGGTTGTTACAAGCAGGAGCACTGCTCAACCGTCACTGACCTGCAAGGCGTTCGTCGTCATTCAGCTTGTCATGGTGCCCAACGCAATTTCGCTGACACTAACTGCTTCATCCGCGTCATCCGCCGCACGACACATGGATATGCACTTGTTCTACGCACTGTTGAAACCCTGTGATGGACAAAGGGATTTGTAAACGTTCTAAGACTAATGTAACAGCCAGGAGAACACTGCGTAACCAATAACGCGGCGCAGAGCACAGATATTGTTCGCCACGGCTCAGCACGAGACCTGGGGAGGCACACATTCCGCCGCCAGCCGCGGCCGCTCACTGCGCAACACGTAACCATAGCAACGCCGCCATTGTGCCTAGTGAATATGGCCGCCATGATGTCATTTGCGCCACACTTTTTACGCCCTGCGCCGGCTGGGCATGCCCTCTCCTTACCTTTTTCCTTCCTCCGTGGCGTGTGGTCCGCGAACGCGAACGCCGACTCGCATTATGACGCATGCAGAGTTGCAGCGAGCGCACCGCTAGGGCTCGCGGTGCGCTAATCTAAAACTCCGCTCATAGCGTGCTCGCGGCCATTTCGCTAGCCGCACATATACTAAACTCGATATCAGGTGACGTGAATAGATGACGAAGGTAAATTACACGTCCAAAGTGATAAGCATGACATGAAAGTCACGTACGGCCTCACTTACCTGCGCCTCATATTGTTGTGCTGGTTTTAAAGTAAAGTTACATATCAAGCTTCCTCATTCGTGCTTCGCATATAGGCGATTCCCACTGTACGTGGAGTCTGCCAATTTTTAAAGCATGCAATGTATGCGATCATGGTCATTGGATAGCATGATCGGCATTTCTTGTCAAGGACTTTGAAGTCATGGCTTTTCTGTTGGTTGTTCCTTAAGTGTCGGCGCTGCTTTTACATCCAAGCATGAACCACCAACTCGCCCAACTTTCGCTTCTAGTGCTACTCACCATGGGGCCAGGAAACGGACATTAGTTCAACTTGTGTTACAGAACTGTTTTTATATGTCTTCCGATAATGCGTATTTTTTCGACGTCGTTTCCGAGATAGAAAGGTGCCACTGAAGCTCCTGCATAAAGCACTTTTTTGTAAAAAAAAAAAGTAGGAGTTGCACGCCAGGATATGGGACAAGCGAACACCAGGCATATAGTACATTTTTCTTTCTTTTCATTCTTCATTTCCTTGTATTTTGCTCTCCTTTATTCTTTTTTTTTTCACTGTGAATCTGATGACGATGAATAATTATGGCTGAAGCAGGTAGGCGCTATAGTTAACAGGTCATCAAGAGCAAACTTTTGTAGTGGTTTGGACTACTGAACGACCCAATCATTACGTAGTTTGCATTGTGTGACGCCTTGTTTTTAAGGGTGTTTGAAGCACAGGCACGGCTCGGCAGTAAAATCTTTCGGTTTTACTTCTTCAAGTAACCGGCTCGGCAGTAAAATCTTTCGGTGTTACTTCTTCAAGTAACCGGCCCCCCTGAAATAAGTTGCTGGATCTGCCACTGTTTTGTGCCCATACCTACTACTATAGATTGTTTATCACTAGGTCCAATCTTGTGCTTTGCCGAGACCATTGAAGCAATAACTTAAGCTTTATTTGAAAGCGTAATTTTTAATAGAAAATAAAACAAATAGAGACTACATAGTGAAAGTACAAAAACTCGGGTTAAAAGCTGCCGTTGTCGCGTGTTAGCAACGCACGTGTAATCGTTTCCGAATTCGCTAGGTTTCGACAATTTCTTTGGGCGTATCCACTACTTCCGCCAATGCAGAAATGTTAGTCTTCACAAAATCACGCCAACGTACACAAATTGCATAGTAATTTGACCCCCCCCCCCCACCGAAAAAAAACAGAAATAATCACAGATGGCAAACACGAACGCTGGTCGTGGAGACTTGGACTTCAGTGTTTCAGCACAAAAGCAAGATACGAGTTGTAGTCACCTTGTACTCGGGTATGAAGTAGGCCGCGATATAAATCACACGGCAGAGCAAGGATTTGTGCTCTAAATACCCCGATTAGGAACGTCTTTTATAGTAGAGCACACAGTTCATATTTCGTTCATATTTAACAGCAGAACTGTAAATTGCACTCTCCTTGGTTTCTCGGCGTCCATTCACGTCCACGTCAGCTCCTTCAAGACGTTCAATTGTTGTTATGAGGTCACGTATCGCTAAAAGGGGCCCTGAAGCACTGTTTCAAGTATACCCATAGAATGACTTCACTGGAAGACTTTGTTGCCTTACGAACTCAACGCCAGAAAATATTTAAGAATCCGTCCAGTACGAGTGGAGTTACAAAGATTTATCCCACGCTGCGAATGCATTCTCTTTTCTCTCATCCCGGCGAAAGTGCTGGAAGCTGAGTAGAGAGGGATGGCGGGGGTCAGGAAAGTACGTCACTCGCGCCTCGTGACCTCCACCATGTTTTTCTTTTTCGAATGCACAGCTTTTTCAGATATCACGTGATCACGCGCAGACAAGTCGCGGCCTCCGGCAATGATCTCTGTAACGACCGAGCGCACAATGTTGAAATCAGTCAGTGGCTGATAGATGGGCTAGCTACGAGAGATTTTTGAGCGTCTCTGTCATTTGTCGAGAGATGAGAAAGTAATTTTCAGCTGACTTTGACAATTTATTGTTGATTTCAGGCTGCATACTGCGCTATATTTGACTCGCGTGGTGTCGGGAGCCTCTACTACCGATCGGCAGCGTTTTCTGACCATGATCGAAAAGTGTTGCAGGGCCCCTTTAAATTGGTGACGTTATCACTACGTATTCAAGGTATCATACGGTGACATCTCTGATACGTCACACCTTCTGAAGACGTCATCAATCGACGTCGTTAATCAGTCAAAGGTGTGCCGATTTCGCTGACAGTGCAAGATCTCAAGAGGTGCTGAAAGCTTCATGCAGTGGAGCAGTACGCCTTTCGCAGGCGTTCGTCACACCAGTCGAGTATAGGAGCCAGCTCAGCGCCATCGCGCGGGCAAGTAAGAGTCCACCGCGCACTTCGAGTATGCCTCAAGAGAAGTGCTATTACGAAGAACCACCTCGTAGTGGGGTGACAGTGTCGTTAGACGTCATAAATCGTGCAAGGGTGATTATGTGTAGACCAAGCTGTCCAATTTAACTGCTTTAACAAATATTCTAGCTCGAAAATTATCAGCGTACCATGGTACACTTGTTGCGACGATAGTTGCAGGCCATACATAGTACGAGGATGCATTTTTCACGGACGTTTTTGCCTGCTTCTGTACCAAGGGCCGAGAATACCGGACCTATGAATGGGCAAGAACCAATCGCGCGGAAAAAAAAAGTCTTGAAAGAAAACTACAATAGCAAGTGCTCGTGAATAATTATTTTTAGGATATCGGTACGATTTGTTGAGTCTTTTAAAATGACATTTAAAAGGCGTCTCCACACGCAACTTTTTTCGGTTTAGCAGCTGCCTTCCTCACATTCACAAACATGTGACATTATTCTTCAGTAAAGTCTTAATAATGCATACTACACGCAGCAGGAGTTACTTTTTGGCTTTATTTACAGCAAGAAGCGCGACGCTGCCCTGCACAAAGCCGCCTCAATCCGCGATGGATGGCTTCCGAGTTGCGCGCCATGTTCGAGCTGCCAAGGCAGAGTCTCATCGCCTTTCTTTCTCGGTGGTGCCCGCGGCCTGCTTGGAATCACTCGAACCGGCCAGGTAGGGGTGTGCGGTGGCGCCTTTGGCCGAGATTCTCTCGCGAGGGCTGTAGATAAGCATCTTTAGAAGCAGATCTACCGCCTCGCAGTCAGCCTCGGGAAGCAGCTCGGCCACGATGTTCTTTCTCCACATCGGAAAGGTCGGGTTGTAGTTTGGTAGCTGCGTCACTTCCGGCCACGTGTCCACCGTCGGCGTACCCAGGACGCGAAAGATTCGGAACAGTTGGTCGATCTCCGAATTCCCGCGAAAGAGAGTTTTCCCGGTGAGCAGCTCGAAGAAGATGCACCCGATACTCCACACGTCAACCGGAGTCGAGTAGTGACTCTCCCCCAGGAGAATCTCCGGCGCCCGGTACCACAGGGTGAGCACCTCGTGGGTGTAGGCGCGCACGGGCAGCGTGAAGGCACGGCACAAGCCGAAGTCGGCCACCTTGAGACCGCCCTTGTCGTCGATAAGCACGTTGGCTGGCTTTAGGTCGCGGTGCAGAACTCGCCTTTTGTGACAGAAGAGGATGGCGTCTACCAGCTGACCGAGGTACTTCTTGACAATGGCGCCATCAGGGTTTTGTTCTTGGGCTGAGCATCCAAGAACTTCTTAAGGTCCATGGTCATGTGCTCGAAGACCAAGTATATAGAGTTGGACGGTGATATGACGACTTCTATGAGTCGCACGATGTTCTCGTGCTTTAGCTCCTTGAGGAGGCTCACCTCTCGTATAGTCGTCATCGGCACGCCTTCCTCTGCGCAATCGACTCGAATCTTTTTGATGGCCACGATCTTGTTGGTCCCCTTGCACTTTGCCTTGTAAACGACACCGTACGTGCCTTCTCCAATCTTCTCTATCATGACGTAGTTCTTCATCCTGTCTTCGCTAGTATCGGATGCCATGTCTGCAGACGTTGCGACGGTACGCGCAGATTCTTGATCCAGCGAGCTGTAAGCGGCCGCCGAGAACCGTTGGAACAATACCGGTACGCGTGGCAGCTCGTGACATCTGACCGCGCGCTTTGCCTGCTCGCGAAGGGAAGCGTTTTTCCTCTTTCTTTATCGGCTTGTTCCTTCCACGTGCATGTTGCGAACCATTGCCTAAATTTTTAGTTTAGTTTTTTCTATAGGATGTAGTACGGACTTCAAGAAACCAGCGTGCGAAAAGTGGGGACAGGGGCAATGAAGAAAAAGATGACGAATATGAAGATGGTGAAAGTATGGTTTGAGGCCAATGTTACAATACTTTTAATACTTAGCGGCACTTAATTAGGTTGCTGCAACAAGGATCTATGCTCTACTGTGTTTGACTCCATCAAAGGAACAAAATATTACCATGTTAGTATATCCATACTTTTTCAGATTCTCAATAAATAATTCGTAGTTATTTCTATCAAGAAACTAAGATGGTTTGGCCGCTTCCTCTGAAAGCATTTTTGTTTATTTGAAGTTTTATATTTAAAATAATTATTGCAGATTGGTTTTAGTTTCGTAGTTTAAGCATCCTGCCGCTGGTTCTTGTCCAACCCCCTTTTGTGGGTGAGCGCCATTCTTAAGGGGTCGTCATCATCACCATCATGACATTTACCAGGCTCATTTTCTGGCAAACGTCCCCTTAATACGCAGATTTTCTCAGTGTCGTTGGCAAACGTTATTATAACAGACTGCTTCCTTGTTTTCTCTCTTAGGTGCACCTAATTTGTCAAGTGCCTACGTCAGTACATTTTTTAGAAACATATGCAGATACACGCTTAAAAAAATTATATTAATTACAAGGCTACGATGTCAAGTCCCTGTCATCGTTATTCTTATCAGACAAAAAAATTTTAGTAGCCCCATTACAAAAGCAAGGAATAAAAGTAAATCTACCTTGGCAGAACTTCATTTGGTTACTGCCACAGGGATATATGCTCCCTTGTGTTTGATTACATCAGCGAAACTAAAACGTTACCGTGTTAGTGAAGCCTAAATTTTTCAGATCTGTAGTTTATAATTCGTAGCTATGTCTGTCAAAAACAAGAGATGGTTTGCCCGTTTGCTCAGCAAACATTTTTGTTTATTGGTAGTATTATTTCTAAACTACTTTTTCAGATTGGCTTTATTTTCCTTTTAGTTTCATTTAAGTATCCTGACGCCCGGTTCTTGACCCATCCCCCTCTGTGGGGGAGCGCCATCCATCAGAGGTCATCAGCATCAGCATCAGCATCAAGTCCCGACACTGAACTTTATACAATTCGTTCTGTGGAAGACGGTCTTTTAAAAAAACCGGGAAGAGGTCGAAGACAAGGACCACGCAAGGAAGCCGTCCACTACCACCCCGACTGACAATATGACGCGAGTGATGGACGCGAGTGTTGAAGTCTTGAAAAGCCTGCAATGCAAGTCGCAACGCATTCGACCGGACCAGGCAGGCAATTGGACGTTTCACTACGATAATGTGCCAGCCGACAGTGCCTTCGTCGTCACCGACTAGTAGGTAGGAAGGGGTGCCACCTACGATATCCAAAGCCGCATACAGCGTGGACTTGGTTACCCTCAACAGTTAGAACGCAGAACTCAGGTGCCCTCTTCTGGTTTGAACAGCGTCGCCGTCACCGTCAGTGGCGGTAAACGATACACATAAAGAAATAAAGGGGCGAAATGGCCTGGATATAAATGGATTCGAAACCGGGCCCTCCACTTGGCATTCAAATAAGAAATCACAGAGCCACGCTGTTGCTTGAAATTCGTTCGCGAAAAGACACCGGCATCATGACGGGCACGGAATCAGATCAACCTGTAGTAATATGTCTTGAAAGAAGAGTAAAATTACAACCAGTACCAGCACATTGCGAATCGTGCAACCAGTGTGTGGTTTGAAACTTCTCCGGCCGCTGCAAAGAGGTCAGCCATAATTCTTCATTGTCGTCGGTCGGATCCAGCGTCGACAAAGTGCGCATATTGTCGTACAAATTGTCGTAGCCAGTACATATTGTCGTAGCCAGTGCTGCCCAAGTTCCAAAGTTATAATATGACGCAGCCAATAGCTGGCGGAAAGCCAAACTTCAAACACAGATGACCTTGTCCTAACATAAAGCCGCGCTTAGAATTCGGATTAGGCAGTAGCTAAGCGTGTTTTTTTTTTCTACGCCTCAAAACATCCTTAATATCAAGCATTCTGGGACAGTGGACGGACTCAATGTAGCTCGCAGGCAGCATTAAAAGCCATTTCAGTAAGTACTACCGGAACGCAATTGGCAGCCGGATTTCTTCCTGGAACGACGTAATCGACGCTAAAGGAGACTGTTTTGAAGATTTGTAAATACTGGTAACAAGCAATTCAGTGAATAATTTTTAGTGACATTGCTGACATAACTTTCAGAACAGACCTGTACGCGTAAATAATGAATCTACATTTTGTTTTTTCAACAATCATAGCTTATGAGAAACAAAGAAACATAGAGATCAAAAACAGATCGGTTAACCACGGCAATAAGCAAGTAGGCTGTTTTATAGTATATTGGGCAACCGCAGAGAAACGAAGGAGCGAGGAAATAAATGAAAATTCGCCCACGCCCTATTAGTCCTTTGTTCACCGGCCGTGGCACAATACTCGGGACAAAAAACATCTACTCAAGGAGAGATACCAAGAGACTAAACACGGAGAGGCTACCAGTAATGTGCCTTGGGGTATAGGTCTTGCACGATATGTAACGAAGCGTCCGACTACAATACCTTACAAGGACATGCAAGGCCAGCGAACTTTCGTGGCTTAAAGCACTCGGAGAGAAAACAAAGTCTCAAACTGATATTGCATTTCACTCGTGCACTGGCAGGTGTCCCGGATTCAGGTGTGCGTCCTTTCACTAGGCAGAGAAAGCCACTTCATCGGGATATTCTAATGCTTGCTTTCACTTCGTTCTGACAGCGTTCGTGACGAACATTACTCCAGCGAATAACACCTAAACCAGTCTTGCATAGTAAGTAAACAAAAAATAGGCAATAGTGACGAAAAATACCTCTGTCTAACAGCGGCGAGAACGTACACAAGTTCATAAGGTGTAATTTTTTTTGCATGAATGATTGCACCAACGAGTCACAACTGTATCATACCAAGCAGCGCTGGCCAACTTAAGCTGGTGAGCCATGTAATACACAAACCAACGTCGACACATAGAAAATTGCAATCACTCTTGAATGTTGTTTGTGATTGCATAAAACAAGTTGTTGCACGCAAAAAATGAACTGAATTTAGTTAAACAATAGTTTGCGCAATGATTATTTATAAGATTATTGCTGTCTGGACCATCCAATTCTGATGGGACCACTATAGCGTATCAGAAATGTTATTGTAGTCTGTACGCAACGAATAAGTTAAAAATAGTTTATTATTACAAATATTTTTCGGTATTTTTCGTTCAGACTGTTTCATTTTTCACCCAGCGAGCTTTTTATGCAAAGCTTGTAAACATGCTTGCAAATTTAGTGGCTTTGAGAAGCTGATTCGCATCCCGATTCGAATGCAGGAATTCTCTCAAAAAAAAATGTCACCAATGGTTTTTGTGTCAGTTAAGCTCCCAAAAACATATATTTTTCACTAGCTCAGAGAGAGAGAGAGAGAGAGAGAGAGAAGAGAGAGAGAGAGAACACATAAAGATGAAGTATGAACAACGGCACACAAAAGAGGCGACACAAACAAGCACCGACTTGCAGCTAAATTTTTCTGTAACACGAAAAGGAAATATACACGGAGAAACATGGGAAAGAAATATAAAGGATGACGAGATTTTTTCGAGGGATGTTTACACGTACATAAAGACTGCTCTTCTTTTCTTTGCAGTTTTTACACTGAAAAAGACGTATGGAAAAGCAGCGGTTGCAAGTGAACCACCTATATAAGTGCAACGACGTCGGAGCGAATGGGAAATCCCCGCGAATACAAATCGGATAACCATAATTTCTTCGGACGCAAGCTTGTCATACGTGTTTGCGCGCAAAACGTACGAACAGTCTGTGCGCTTAGTATGTTCGTGCAGCGTGCAGGGAATGTATAGCAGAGATAGGCGCCACGTCAATGTCCCGACAGGCATGACAGATGCAGTCACATGTCGATTCCCGGTGACGAAAGGTCTACGAAAATAAGCCTACGCTCGTTTCAATAAACTGCCTGCCGCCGTTTCGTGCATGTTTGCCTTCGTGAGTGACAGCTGGCCAACTGCAGCAGCCGCTTCTTGGGGGAAGGCGGCGGCAAAGGCAGCGCGCATGGAACACGCCGCGATGAATTGACGTTTCCGGCGCCAAATACGGCCCAGTCTGAGTTCAAAAAGGAAACTTTAATCGCGGCTGAAATTGAATTCGGAGTCGCGCAGTCGCGATTGAATGTTGTTTGGCTCCACCGGGCTTATGGCGGGCGTCCCGAACTGCGGTGCTTCGGGACGGCATCAGCGAAACAAGAACGCGTTCTATAAAGTACCATTCGCAAACACGGTGACAAGAAATGATGTCGCAGTACTTGTTGCTGGGCCAGTGCATGCAACGGACCCGCCATGGTTATGGTGCGTGACAGCTGACGTGAAGGTCATGGGATCGAATCCCAGCCACGATGGCCGAATCGTGGCTGGGAGGCGAAATCGCTTGAGGCCTATGTGCTTAGATTTAGCCTTAGGTGCACGTTTAAGAACCCCAGTTGGCTGAATTTTCCAGAGCACTCAAGCACGGCGTCACTTACAAATAAATCGTGCTTTTGAGACGTTAAACCCCGACAAATGTTTATTAGCTTATAACACAGCGTTTTGTTAATAAATGCGAAGCATTTCTTTGAATATACTGCATGACCTTTGAGCTGTAATATCTATCCATCTATCCATCTATCCATCTATCTATGTATCTATCTATCT